ATTTTGTATTGTCTTAAGTTGTCCAAGTTGTTAAAAATTTTATTTTTCTTAATAAAAGCTGTATGTATGGATTGCCATTTTGTTGTCTATTAGACGTATATATGTAGTCGTTTAAAGCCGTCTAATTGATGACTAGTCTATTCTTGGGCTATGGTTAGACGTCTATTAGATTTTCACTGACAGCCCAAATTTAGCCTTGTTTTAGCCTAGACCCATATTCACCGTCTATTAGACGTATATATGTAGTCGTTTAATAGCCGTCTAATTGATGACTAGTCTATTCTTGGGCTATGATTAGACGTCTATTAGATTTTCACTGACAGCCCAAATTTAGCCTTGTTTTAGCCTAGACGTCTAGGCTATATTTAGACGTCTAATAGACGTCTAAAATTGCTTGCTGGGGTGGCTCTTGCTTTGAACTATCACTGAACATCAATTAACTACTAATAACATACTTGGGTTAAAAAATCTATTAAAATAATACAAATTAATAATATTCCAGGTTAATAATAAATGTTCCAGGTACATTTAAAGACAAGCAAAGTCCATGATATTTTATTAGACCTGCCCATGCGCTCAGGTCACAAAAAGTGGCACTAACAGTGCGACGTGAAAGCGTAAACAAAGCAACTTTACACTGTTTTTGTCAGCAAGGAGCCAACACGACTTTCTCAGCATATCTAGGACTCAAGAAAAAAATGTTTAATCCGCAAGATATGTTTTCTCAGTCGGATATTTTGGGCTGGGGAACACGTAGGAGAAACGTTAGGTTTATAGACATGTTTAACCTGACTAAAATTATCACTAATCTCGTGCTATTGTCATTTAAATCATATGCTATACTGTTCGCCTAACGTTACTTGTACCTGCCAAAAAGCTCAAATCTGTGAAGACAGTTCATGACCGCAGTACAACAACAAATGTCCCCTGCAGTCTGGCTTTAATACAGATCTTACAAGCCAAGGTAAACAAGTATTCAACTGTTTCAGAATGCGCGTGTGATTTGCGGGAATGTTAATCTGTGCAGGTTTCAAAGTGTAACTCGATCTGTGTGAATACACGCATGAAGTTACACTCTTACAGAATTGGCTTGCTTTAATAAAAAGTAGAATTTCGTGGGCGACATCTGTGCACTCCCAGCATCAACATCCCGCCTGATTAATGATGGCCTCTTTCTTTTCTGTCGGCTTATAACTGGGACAAAGACTTTCTCCAAGTTTGGCCTGCCCCTTTAACAGCAGTGCAGCCCTAGTGGTGATTATCGGACTGTCCGATTCCCTGGAAACTCTGCGGCGCAGCTCTCACTTTTAACCGGGATCATGGCGGCTCCGCTCGGGCGGGACACACTACCTGAGCACTGGTCCTACGGAGTGTGTGGTTATGGCAGAGTCTTTTTCATCAAGTAAGCAGCCTTTGAAGGGTTTAACTGCAGTCGTTGCATTTTATTGTGGTTCTGGTGAATCCGCACCTTTTCCGATGGGTCTCGTAGGCTAACAGGTGTTTCTGTGTTCCAGCGACAAAACTCGCGGCACTACTTGGCTCCATCCCCGCACTGGTGAACCTGTCAACTCAGGACACATGATACGATCAGGTACGGTAGTAAACTATGCTGGCTAGTCTAAACTTTGCATCTTTAGTCGGATACTGCGGTAAGTGTGTTTAAAGTGACCAGTGGAAACACGTCCTCTGCATAATTGATGGTGGGCTACTTTCTGTTTCATTAAAAACTTAATGGAGCTTTGTACAAATATTTATCTCCCCTTAGATTTACCGCGGGGATGGGAAGAGGGCTTCACCGAGGAAGGCGCCATCTACTTTATAAAGTAAGCGATAGTAAGAATTTCTGTTTTTGTCCTTGTGAGACCGTGAGGATGCGAGTGCAACTGCAAAGCCCTCCCCAACGAGCGCTCACTCACTCCCGCCTCTTGCAGTGATCAGTGCCCGCTGTCTGCTCGTACCTTCAAGAGTCAAGAAAAGACATAACTGAATCAGTCAGAGGTTTGATTGAATGTTTACTGCCGATTTGCTCTTCAATAGTTTATGTGAGGCAATGACATTGGACAACTGATTTCCAGCTATCAGTCTGCTCGTCCGTTGGTTTGTCCAGTTAATTGTCTAATCAGTGATCCATCTGATTGTCATTTATTTATTCATCAGTGGTCAAGGTCAGTATATTTATATTAAACAACTAGTGTCTACCAAAGTGCAGTACATTAACAAATAATATAGATACTATAAAGAAGTAAGGAAATAAAAGAGAAAGACAAAAACAACAACGAATAATCCATAACAAAACTTAGTACACATTACAATACATAAAATACCATTCATCCAAAAGCCAAGGAACAGGAGAGCACACATACACATTGATAGCACAAATGCACAGAAAAAACAACAAAGGACAGGAGCGATGGCAGGCCAACAACCACATTGGCACAATCTTGGATCAAAAATGAGTGTGGCCTCATTTTAAATATCCATATCCATCCAAATATATCTGTCGATGTATCTATCCATATATGTATCTAAGCCATCATTGATTGTTACATTTCTGTGACAAATATGATTTTTGCATTTCGATTTGCTCCAAACAAACAAACAAACAAAAAAAAAACACTCCTCAGCTGTTGTATTAGGTACATTCTCTCAGCAGTTAACAATTATTTTTTATTTAATGCCCAGGTAATATAACACACAGCATATATGTTCAATATTCTTTTAAAAATGAAAAAAACAAAATGCTAGTCTGTCTATGTCTATCTCTCTGTTTGCACATCCAGTAATCTGTCAGAATCGGTCTATTCGTCAACATCCATCTCTACCATGTTCAGCGGGTGAGGAGACTCATGGGCAGTTAGTGAGCAGCAGAAGTGAGATGAAGTGGACTGTGGCAGGGAGAGAAGTACTACTTAGGGAGCTGCCTGGAAAAAATTAGCTGCGAGGACTCTAATCATTTTCAATGACAGTGGCAGGCAGAACTTTGAGAGGATGCAATCCCATAAAATTGGTGTGAATAAGCGTGAGGGTGTTGAAGTGCTGTGGTCAGTGCTGCTGTATTGAATGTTGCCTGTATCGCCTGAATATGATAGAATGTGTGGCTTGGCACAGCCAATTAGATGTCATAAACATTGCAGCAGCTCCCTAAGTAATGTTTCCAAATATAATTCCGTACAATTGTGATAAATACTTTTGTATTAACGAACCAGCTTATGCTTTGAAAAATGATTTCCCCTGAAACCAGTAGATTCTATTTTGTATTGTAGCTTTACCTGTCTAGTTCACTTGGATGACATCAGACTTCAGTTGATAATTGCAAGGAGATCTGATTCTGTTTGATCTAAGCTATATGATGACAAAGAGTGCTTCATTGTGACAGCTAGCAGAATCTTTCACCATTGTCTTTGTAGCAATGCTAGTTAATTATATAGAGCCCTCACTACTGTTTACAGTCACCCATGCAGCCCATTATCTCTTCTGTGCCCACTTAATGGAGGAAATAAAGGGCATTGGCCAGCAAGACTGGATGGGTTTTCCCATTAAAATTCTTCTCATGTACGGACCTTAACCTTTCCCCTTTAGCGGATGTTGTGCCCTGTCTGTACGTGTATGTGCGTGTGCCCATATGCCCATGGAATGACAGAGATGTATGGTATGATCACACAGCCAATTCATGGTGGCTTTGCTCTCCAAAGTCACTTTATCTATTCAGCTCCACTAATGCGGAAACCGCAACCAGACCACCATCATTATAGCCAATGTATCATTCACCGTCCTTAATTGTATGACCTGTTCCATCTGAGATTTACTGTAAGAATGTTTTTTGCCTGACAGATTATTAGTTTGTTTACAGTACTGCAGTAAATCATTTGCATGCTCTGGCTTGTTTAATTAAATTGAGAAATCAACCCGACAGCTGCCAGTAAACAACCAATGTGAATGCACTTTATGCTGCACAATGCCATATCAACAAACTAATTTAGGACAGCAGGAGCAAATGAGAGGCAATGTGAAGCTACTAGCTACGATTTTTCCCCTTACGGATTTGATATCCTTCCATAATCAGTTTTCTGTTACAATACTCAAAACAAAAAGAAAAGATGATGTAGAATCCCACCAGGATTTGAAGGCATCCCATTTCATCAGGTACGCTCCTTGAACAGTCTCTCCGTGACATCAGTTCCGACAAATGGAACCCGGCTCAGGGCGTCAGCGACTATGTTTTGGGGGCCAGGCACGTACTTTATGTCAAAGTTGTAGCTAGCCAATTTAGCCACCCAACGTTGTTCGAAGCAATCAAGTTTAGGTTTTGTAAGTATATGGGCCAAAGGATTATTGTCAGTCAAGACAGTACAGTATGTGAGGGGCGTAACATTTCCGTCTCACGCTTGAGGTATTCGGCCAATCACAACGCACTGGATAGCTTGCCAATCACAGCACATCTCGCTTTTTCAGACCGATGAGCTTTGTAAAAATCGACGCGTTTCAAAAAGGCGGGGCATATAGGAGAAACAATAATGTACAGTATGTGGAAAATAATGTGTTTTTTTTACTTTAAACCGCATAAACACATTTTATTACACCAAATACACAAAATAATGTTATTTTTAGCAGCATCATATGACCCCTTTAAAGAGCCTGTTTTTGCTTCTGCACAATTGCCATGCAATGACGTGCTCCAGGATTGCAGTGAAAACAATGTTTACTTGTGGCTTATTTTCAGTGTTAGCTTTGGAGAGCCCTTAAATTCATTCACCAGAGTAAATTTAAATGACATAATCCTTCAGTGATGGAACAGGGCTGTTGTGGATTGTTCTATTGGATGGAGCTTTTGGTAACCCAGTTTTATTATTAAAATTTCTTTGTGATGTATTGTTCCTCTGTATTACTCATAAGTTGTTTTATCCAACTCATCGCACACAGATGCCTAAATATCAGGCAGTCACTGCATCTGACAAATCTGCCTATGAGAATATCATGGCAATTACCCAGTTATCTCAAAGCACCACCAATGTAGCCCATGCAATCTGGAATGCATTAGTGTCTTGCTCTCTGCTTTGCATCTAAATAGCACCACTTTCCCATAAAGCTGTTTATTTGTAGTTCAATGCTCCACTGGTGTCTGACCAGAAAACTGTGTCTCGTCAAAGCTGCTATAGTGAGAGGGGATGTTTTAAAGGTCAAAGAAAATTATTTTAGAAATGTGTTATTGCTGACAGTTATTGTGGGCCATGTGAAGGGACTCGTTGTGCTGCGTCTGGGCACAGTCAAATACTGAACAGCTCAGAGGCCTTAGAGAGCTGAAATGTCAAGACTGTAAAGTAATGCACTTATTTGTGGGCTAAATGACATTACTATTCCTGTTTTGATCCTGTTAGACATTGTCTTTGTGTTATTTTGTGTTAACGGGCTAGAAAAGGGAGCTGATTGTTATTTTAGTTAAAGAATGCTAGAATAGAAAAGGTTTCCTATTTCTGCCTTTTTAGGTATGGTGAGTGCCTTCCAGCCCTTTAATCTGTCCATTTTGTGGTTTAAATTGCATTGCTTACTGTCTGTGGTTATTTTACTCACTTATGCCAAAGAATTTAGCAAGCCCCATTTGTGACAAGACTGGCAGTCATAAAGTGGCTGTGTGCGTGTTCCCTCACTTCAAACTTTGAGAATTTTTTTTTCTTTTATCCTCTTGTAATTTTATAAATCAACATTAATGGCTATAGACTGCAAATAGTATTGAGTACTGAATGTTGTTAAATGTGGAGCAGTAGGGAATAGGGAGAGAGTGATGCTTAGACTGTCCTTGAGACAAAGTATGCTTGGGTTACATTAGGCACTCTTAGAGACCATCATTTCTGCTGATGTGATTATTATTTTTGTGGTTCATGAGGGACTGCTCTGTATCCGGCATACTGGATTATTATCCAAATTATATTTGATATACTGCAGGCTTGAATTATGCCAAACATTTAATAAGTCCCATAAAATGTATAGCTAATGGATTTACTCTGTGTCTGTACCCATCCCACATTCATCTAATTAAGTGATATGAATGGAGGGAAAGCATCTCAGATGTTCCCACTCATTTTGAGACATTGCTGCCGATATAGAGGCACATGTTCTCCATCACTGTATGCAGGAGACTGAAGGTGGATCCTGAGCTGACCTTTAAGAGAGATCATTCAGGTGCCTTTTTCAGTCTGATAAGGTGTTTTCAAGTGAATTTTAAGCAGATTTTAAACATTCTGTTAGTGTTAATATTGTGCAATCTCAAATTAATAGATTTTAAGATATGTTGGAATGTAATTATTATACACAACAACCCTTGTTTTTTTCTATTTAATCTTCATACATTACTGTTTAAGTAGTGTTTGGGGTCAGTAATGACAGTAAAGCCACTTACCTTGTTAATCTCCCTTTCTCTCGTTATATGTACAGTGGGTATAGAAAAGAATCACCCCCCTTTAAAATAATCACATTTTGTTGCTTTGCAGCCTGAATTGAAGACAGATTGTTTTATCCAGCTGTATTTACTCAGTGCAACGTATTACATCCAAGTGAAAGATATAATACCAACATGTCAGAAAAAGAAAAAAAAACTGAATCACTGAGTTGGAAAAAGTATCACCCACTTGTGTCAGTATTTTGTTTAATCACCTTTTGCTTTAATTACAGCCTTTAGTCTGTTGGAATATGTCTCTACTAGCTTTGCACATCTAGACTTTGCAATATTTGCCCCCTCTTCTTTGCATAACTGCTCAAGTTCAGTTAAATTTGATGGTGACTGTTTGTGGACTGTAGTCTTCAAGTCATTCCACAGATTTTCAATGGG